AGGTATAAATTCAGTTTTTCTATTTCTTTTCTTCTTAAGGATTAGAAAGTGCATCAGAGTAGAGGTCTGTCTGTTTAGCCTGGGCAGATGAAATGGTTCTAAACTGTCAGGTCTAAGCACCTAAAACATCATACATACAGGGAAAGAAAGAAGGCACAGAGAGAATTAATTTAGTTAGGAGAGTAGGAAGAGACTGCGGAGTTTACAAATCTCCAACCCACTCTGCCGGTCTTCAGCTTTCTGCTGGCTATTTATTGAAGTCAGGGAATGTCCCTAATTACACAAGCTGAGGTTTAACTAAGGGGAAGGGAAACAATAAACCAACCAGATAACTACGGATGTGACTCAAAGACATCTTTTTCTTTTTTGAAGTTTTATCTACTGTAAAGAGACATCAATAGGTGGTTTACTCTCATGATTTTACTCTGTCTAAAACTTGGAGAGGACCAGAATTAAGTTGATACACTGCAAAAAAGTTTAAATTTAAAGTCTTTTTTTTTTTTCTTAAAGTGCATTTTTTCTTGAATTGAGGAGGTAAGTGCGACACTTTGCCAAAAAATAAAAAAATTGGTCCCTCAATGAAACCAACATTAACCCCAAAATCCCATATCCTCCGCTGTTCCTCCCGTCCTGCTCCGCTCCGACTTCCTCTGAGCTCTAGGAGAGCACGCGCCATATTGTTATAAAATTATTATAAGCAAAACAAGCGGTAATGAATGCTTAATTTAATATGACATCATTAAATCTCAGCATCAATCCCACGTTTCTGCCCAAACAGGAATAATCATAAAAAAAGTGATTTGTTCTCTACTTCCAAATTCAGCATCTCTTTATTCATGCCTGCCATAAGAAGTTTCTTCATAAGTTCTTAGACGCGCTCTTCTGCTCATCTGCTTCCTGGTATATTGAAGTATCGATAGTTTGCATCCAATAATTTAACAGTCTTAGTTTTGGGGAATACATAAGAATTATGCTCTAATTTGTAGTTGCTGATCTGTCTCCACCGTATTTTAATTTGGTGAACCGGAGCTTCTTGACGTTCCTTTTCCTGTTTGGTGTGATTGCAATTGCAGATTTTTATTTGATTGGCTTCCAAAGGACTGGAGAGGAGTAAAAAATTGCTTAGCTACATATTTTTGAGGTGAAGGAGACGTGATGTGCGGAGCAGTAATGGTGGATGTGGAACAGTTCTCATATGTGGGAAGGGGAAGATGAGGAATCTGGGGGTAACGGATCAGCAGCACAGATCTAGAAGGTTCAAACCATCTTGAATCTGATGAAAGCAAATCATTTATACTGTTGGTTCCAAAGAGCTAACAGAAACTTCCTTGGAAAACAATAAAATGTGAGCTGGATTTGATAATTCTTAGTTTTGTGTTTCTGTGTCTGTTGCCAGTCAGGAATGCTAAAAGTGGATCTTTTCCTTCCGAGGTGATTAAGGTGGTGCTGCCCTGCCTGTTGGCTACTGTATTCCAATAACGCTTTGGCCTTCTTTTATAAAGCCGCTGAAAAATTGAGAAGGTGAAGCTGAATAGAAATGCGGCGGAGGACGCTCATATTTCCACTCCTGACCTGTAGCCTTGCAGATGTGGAGTTATTGCACAGGTGATGCTTTAGAATCTGACTTGCCTTTAGGTTGTCAGCTGGTCCGGGTCCATCTGAAAGAACCGCTCTGCTTTTCTGTCCCTGCAGCAGCCGCTGCTAATCAGTCCACTCCAAGGGCAGAATTGATGAGAAAAAATCCCTTTGAGTGGGAGGGAAGGGGGGGAGCTGCTATCGCTGGTCTACATCCCACCTACACAGCAGCACACCTGAGGTCTAATGAAATGGGGACAGAAATTAGGAACAAATTAGAGGGAAACATCTGTGGTAGTTATTTGAAAGAGATTTTAGATTTCAGTGACGTTTTATCCGTTTAAACGAAGGTTATTATTATGGCTGAAACAATCAAATTATTGAAATAATCGTCAACTAATTTATTAATAGATTAATCGTTAACTGGAGTACACAGTAGGCGCCATTCAAAATTTCCCTTCTTTCTTTCCTCGATGAGCCCTTGGTTGGTCCCTGTTACGTGCACAAGGGCACAACATATTTGAGGACACAGACAAAACTGAGGGTACAAAATAATTTATTTATTCTGTAGTTCACTCGTTCAAAAAAAAAAGCCGTCTTTCTCAAGAAAGCTGTGGGGATGTTCTGTAGAGAAAAATAAAGAATTAAATATCCTCAGCTTCTGTGTCCAAAAGAAAAGAGAAAAAGAACCAAACAAAGTATTGACAGAAAGTTGGACCTGATGAGCCGATTAAAAACAAAAAAACAGTACAGCAGGGGGCTAACCCTATACAGGGCTGTCGAAGCCCCTACTGGTACTGGACTACAAAGATAAACTACTAAGCAAAATAAAGAATCGAAAACAGGACAACTTGTCCCACCAGGCCGAAATCAAAACGAAAACGGCCTCCAAGCCAAGCTGACAAACATACCGCACGGCAGGTCGGAGGTGTCGGCTGCGACCTGCAGCAGCTGGAGACAGGTGCGCCTTCTCAGTGGTGGAGATGAATGAGCGAGCAAAGGACGGCCTTCAAGATCAAAAAACAGCCCCTTTATAGGCCGTCCAGCGGCCTCTGATTAACCGGGAAGAAAGAGTAACTCCAAAACATGTGAAACAAAAATTTATTGAACTAAAAATCATTATTGAAGTATATATAAAAAAGAATAAAAAATAATTGTGCCCAAAGCACATAACAGTCCCCTTCAATTCCTTTTTAAACATCAATCTTTGTACTAAAACATTGTTTCTGTCATGATTTGTGGACATTTAGATCTAAAGAGAAGCGCCATCTCCTGGTCAGTCCCTGTATATCAGTGAAAGGGTGGATTTTTTTAAATAGTCTTTGTTGGGGTTAAGTTGTAGGGAAATCATATTTAAATGACAAATCATTCTGGCTTAAACATGTATATAAATGTACTCTTTATCAGGTGATATTGTCCCAAAGGTTAGAACATTTCTATTATCTTCTACAGGCCATTTAGTTCTATGTCAGCCATCTGTCAATCAAATGTTTTCGGTCATAGCATCTTCATTCATATTTTGCAGCTAATATACGCAACGGTTGAAACCAGAATCCTTTCCTTTCCCATTGAGTTGCGTCCCAGTGTTCACGGGGATGGACGTCTGTGTCTTCGGCAGGCGTAGAGCTAACAGAACTGCGAGGGCTCAAACATGTACGGCTGCGAGGGCTCAAACATGTACGACTGGAAGCCTTCTACACCAAACCAAGCTTCTGCCGCCCTGGCGTCCTCTTCCACAACATTTTCGTCCCCGCTTTTCTCCTCTAAATAAAAAATGGATGACGGAGGAGACTCATCCAGCGCCGCCGAAGTTCTCGTGACCATGTGCCAAAGTTCTTGCGAGTTCTCGAATAGGCTCCTCCTTGCGCTTTGGCGGGAAACTGCTGTGCGTCCCTAGAAATTCCAGACCGACGGTGCAGAAGAATACAAGTTAAACTGGTTCGCGACCAGACTGTGATGTGCGTGGTTGCAGAAGTAGAATCTGGCCTTAAGTCACCAATTTAGTTGTACTTGGTGTAATTTCCCATTGGGAACCTACTAGCACCAAGTTTCTAGTAGGTGGGAGAAACCGTCCACGACCAAACTTACTTGCAACAATCCCGCCCCCTTGATAAATGACCAATCACATTCACTTTATTCACTCGTGTAAAGTCGGGCACCACTCAGGAGAATTCAGAAATGCAACGGTTGGAACAGCTGCTTCCCTACGACTATAAGGCTGCCAGCTAATGTGTGGGGCCAGAGGAGCAGTCTGGGGTTAAGGGTCTGGCTCAGGGAGCCGGAGTGGCAACCTGTGGGGCTCCAACTCAGAAGCTCAGGATTCCAAGCTAACCACTAGAACGCCACCTCCCCAAAGAAATATGCACCCCCTGGAGAAGGAGGCTGTCAATCCAGTGGCTGGAAGTTGGAGGGGATTTCGCTGGGAGTTGCAAGGAAGTTGGCTGCCATTCAGCTGGCATTTGACTTGGAAGGGCTATTTTGAATGGCTGCTACTGTAGAGACTGAAAAACATGCTTTAAGCTGACAGAACAACCCACTTAGAGCAGCAATTATATTAAAATTGTTAAAAAAATATATAAAGATTTTGCATTTCAGATAAAAAGAAACACACTCTCTGGTCAATCTGCTCTATCCAGAACTCATCAAAGGGAAAGGTTTGCTTCCCGTGATGTAATTTTGTAAAAAAAAAAAAAAATCTTTGGATATCCAATTATTATTCAGCAAAATTTATTTTAAATTGTTAGTTGCAGCCCTAGTTATTATTAAAAGACCTCTGCAATGATCATATTTCTCATTCCTTTTCTAAACTGCTACCAAATGATGATAAAAAAAAAAAAACACCAGACATGTCTGACTGGCCTGACTAAAGGTGGCAGAAAAAGAATGGGTTTGTGATGTTGGATGTCATTTATTTATCTTTTCTTTACCGTAAGTATTTCTTTTCTATGTAAAATCTTGAGTTATTGAGTCCTTCGTGACATTAAAAAGGTTGAGAAATATTCCTGTGCATCAATCCACTGATATCCAAGTGCATTTAAAGCGTTTTCCTAAACTCTGAAAAACCTTCAGCAGGGTTTTAATATTTATCTAAATAATTTGCTGTTTTCGACAGTTGAGCAAAGAAAGATTTCCCTGATCTAAACTCCACATCCTAAACATAAAGGTCCCCTCTGCTTTGATTAGAAACAAAAACAGTTTCTGTGCAGGATTGCTTGCTGTTTTCCTGTTAGTCTCTAAGTGCCAGGTGGCCATGTTTGGGAGGCTAAGCGGCGGAGCATATTCTGCACCAGGCGGATGGTAATTACCAGGTGTTCAGCCTTGGCAGCGGCTCTGCGTTGGATGTTGGTCACCATCGGATGTGTTTACATGTTTTGATGTGTGTCTCTATGGAACGTAACGCCCCTTCTATCTCTGCTTCCCTTCAGCTTTTTGAACTGCTGGGACCGGAGGGCCTGGAGATGATCTCCGTCCTGCTACAGCGCAGGACAGGGATCGTGGACGCCTTCCTCTCCGTTCCAGATGAAAGGACTGTTTACGCTCCAGGTGAGAGAACAACATGGCAGCTGTTCTTATTGTTTACAGGAAGTTTTACCGCCAACAGTGATGCGAACCAGTTATCTTCAAAGAAGTCCTGCAGTGGTAAATGGATGTTCTTTGTAGTATGTAAAAGAAAAAAAGAAAAGATAGAAATTGAACTTTAGTGATTTCATAATGGAGAAATGAACTCTCTGCATTTAACCCATCCCCTTTGGGAGCAGTGGGCTGCCATTGTCCGGCGCCCGGAGAGCAGTGTGGGGTTAAGGCCAGCTAAGGTGTCACTTTAGCTGGCCTTAGGGTCAGGTTATGCCCTGGTAACGGTCAGGTTTAGGGCTAAGGTGTCAGTTTAGTTGCCATTAGGGTGAGGTATGCCCTGGTAACGGCCTGGTTTTGGGCTAAGGTGTCAGTTTACTTGGTTTTAGGGTGAGGTATGCCCTGGTAACAGTCAGGTTTAGGGCTAAGGTGTCAGTTTAGTTGGCCTTAGGGTGAGGTATGCCCTGGTAACAGTTAGGTTTAGGGCTAAGGTGTCAGTTTAGTTGGCCTTAGGGTGAGGTATGCCCTGGTAACGGTCAGGTTTAGGGCTAAGGTGTCAGTTTACTTGGTCTTAGGGTGAGGTATGCCCTGGAAACGGCCAGGTTTAGGGCTAAGGTGTCAGTTTACTTGGTTTTAGGGTGAGGTATGCCCTGGAAACGGCCAGGTTTAGGGCTAAGGTGTCAGTTTACCTGGCCTTAGGGTGAGGTTATGCCCTATTAATTGTCAGGGTTAGGGCTAAGGTGTCAGTTTACTTGGTTTTAGGGTGAGGTATGCCCTGGAAACGGCCAGGTTTAGGGCTAAGGTGTCAGTTTACCTGGCCTTAGGGTGAGGTTATGCCCTATTAATTGTCAGGGTTAGGGCTAAGGTGTCAGTTTACTTGGTCTTAGGGTGAGGTATGCCCTGGAAACGGCCAGGTTTAGGGCTAAGGTGTCAGTTTACTTGGTTTTAGTGTGAGGTATGCCCTGGTAACGGTCAGGTTTAGGGCTAAGGTGTCAGTTTCCTTGGTCTTAGGGTGAGGTGTGCCCTGGTAACGGTCAGGTTTAGGGCTAAGGTGTCAGTTTACCTGGCCTTAGGGTGAGGTATGCCCTGGTAACAGTCAGGTTTAGGGCTAAGGTGTCAACTTAGTTGGCCTTAGGGTGAGGTATGCCCTGGTAACAGTTAGGTTTAGGGCTAAGGTGTCAGTTTAGTTGGCCTTAGGGTGAGGTATGCCCTGGTAACAGTCAGGTTTAGGGCTAAGGTGTCAGTTTAGTTGGCCTTAGGGTGAGGTATGCCCTGGTAACAGTTAGGTTTAGGGCTAAGGTGTCAGTTTAGTTGGCCTTAGGGTGAGGTATGCCCTGGTAACAGTTAGGTTTAGGGCTAATGTGTCAGTTTAGTTGGCCTTAGGGTGAGGTATGCCCTGGTAACAGTCAGGTTTAGGGCTAAGGTGTCAGTTTAGTTGGCCTTAGGGTGAGGTATGCCCTGGTAACAGTTAGGTTTAGGGCTAAGGTGTCAGTTTAGTTGGCCTTAGGGTGAGGTATGCCCTGGTAACAGTTAGGTTTAGGGCTAAGGTGTCAGTTTAGTTGGCCTTAGGGTGAGGTATGCCCTGGTAACAGTCAGGTTTAGGGCTAAGGTGTCAGTTTAGTTGGCCTTAAGGTGAGGTATGCCCTGGGTAACAGTTAGGTTTAGGGCTAAGGTGTCAGTTTAGTTGGCCTTAGGGTGAGGTATGCCCTGGTAACAGTCAGGTTTAGGGCTAAGGTGTCAGTTTAGTTGGCCTTAGGGTGAGGTATGCCCTGGTAACAGTTAGGTTTAGGGCTAAGGTGTCAGTTTAGTTGGCCTTAGGGTGAGGTATGCCCTGGTAACAGTTAGGTTTAGGGCTAAGGTGTCAGTTTAGTTGGCCTTAGGGTGAGGTATGCCCTGGTAACAGTCAGGTTTAGGGCTAAGGTGTCAGTTTAGTTGGCCTTAGGGTGAGGTATGCCCTGGTAACAGTTAGGTTTAGGGCTAAGGTGTCAGTTTAGTTGGCCTTAGGGTGAGGTATGCCCTGGTAACAGTTAGGTTTAGGGCTAAGGTGTCAGTTTAGTTGGCCTTAGGGTGAGGTATGCCCTGGTAACAGTCAGGTTTAGGGCTAAGGTGTCAGTTTAGTTGGCCTTAGGGTGAGGTATGCCCTGGTAACAGTTAGGTTTAGGGCTAAGGTGTCAGTTTAGTTGGCCTTAGGGTGAGGTATGCCCTGGTAACAGTTAGGTTTAGGGCTAAGGTGTCAGTTTAGTTGGCCTTAGGGTGAGGTATGCCCTGGTAACAGTTAGGTTTAGGGCTAAGGTGTCAGTTTAGTTGGCCTTAGGGTGAGGTATGCCCTGGTAACAGTCAGGTTTAGGGCTAAGGTGTCAGTTTAGTTGGCCTTAGGGTGAGGTATGCCCTGGTAACAGTTAGGTTTAGGGCTAAGGTGTCAGTTTAGTTGGCCTTAGGGTGAGGTATGCCCTGGTAACAGTTAGGTTTAGGGCTAAGGTGTCAGTTTAGTTGGCCTTAGGGTGAGGTATGCCCTGGTAACAGTCAGGTTTAGGGCTAAGGTGTCAGTTTAGTTGGCCTTAGGGTGAGGTATGCCCTGGTAACAGTCAGGTTTAGGGCTAAGGTGTCAGTTTAGTTGGCCTTAGGGTGAGGTATGCCCTGGTAACAGTTAGGTTTAGGGCTAAGGTGTCAGTTTAGTTGGCCTTAGGGTGAGGTATGCCCTGGTAACAGTTAGGTTTAGGGCTAAGGTGTCAGTTTAGTTGACCTTAGGGTGAGGTATGCCCTGGTAACAGTTAGGTTTAGGGCTAAGATGTCAGTTTAGTTGGCCTTAGGGTGAGGTATGCCCTGGTAACAGTCAGGTTTAGGGCTAAGGTGTCAGTTTAGTTGGCCTTAGGGTGAGGTATGCCCTGGTAACAGTCAGGTTTAGGGCTAAGGTGTCAGTTTAGTTGGCCTTAGGGTGAGGTATGCCCTGGTAACAGTTAGGTTTAGGGCTAATGTGTCAGTTTAGTTGGCCTTAGGGTGAGGTATGCCCTGGTAACAGTCAGGTTTAGGGCTAAGGTGTCAGTTTAGTTGGCCTTAGGGTGAGGTATGCCCTGGTAACAGTTAGGTTTAGGGCTAAGGTGTCAGTTTAGTTGGCCTTAGGGTGAGGTATGCCCTGGTAACAGTTAGGTTTAGGGCTAAGGTGTCAGTTTAGTTGGCCTTAGGGTGAGGTATGCCCTGGTAACAGTCAGGTTTAGGGCTAAGGTGTCAGTTTAGTTGGCCTTAAGGTGAGGTATGCCCTGGTAACAGTTAGGTTTAGGGCTAAGATGTCAGTTTAGTTGGCCTTAGGGTGAGGTATGCCCTGGTAACAGTCAGGTTTAGGGCTAAGGTGTCAGTTTAGTTGGCCTTAGGGTGAGGTATGCCCTGGTAACAGTTAGGTTTAGGGCTAAGGTGTCAGTTTAGTTGGCCTTAGGGTGAGGTATGCCCTGGTAACAGTTAGGTTTAGGGCTAAGGTGTCAGTTTAGTTGGCCTTAGGGTGAGGTATGCCCTGGTAACAGTTAGGTTTAGGGCTAAGGTGTCAGTTTAGTTGGCCTTAGGGTGAGGTATGCCCTGGTAACAGTCAGGTTTAGGGCTAAGGTGTCAGTTTAGTTGGCCTTAGGGTGAGGTATGCCCTGGTAACAGTCAGGTTTAGGGCTAAGGTGTCAGTTTAGTTGGCCTTAGGGTGAGGTATGCCCTGGTAACAGTTAGGTTTAGGGCTAAGGTGTCAGTTTAGTTGACCTTAGGGTGAGGTATGCCCTGGTAACAGTTAGGTTTAGGGCTAAGATGTCAGTTTAGTTGGCCTTAGGGTGAGGTATGCCCTGGTAACAGTCAGGTTTAGGGCTAAGGTGTCAGTTTAGTTGGCCTTAGGGTGAGGTATGCCCTGGTAACAGTCAGGTTTAGGGCTAAGGTGTCAGTTTAGTTGGCCTTAGGGTGAGGTATGCCCTGGTAACAGTTAGGTTTAGGGCTAAGGTGTCAGTTTAGTTGGCCTTAGGGTGAGGTATGCCCTGGTAACAGTTAGGTTTAGGGCTAAGGTGTCAGTTTAGTTGGCCTTAGGGTGAGGTATGCCCTGGTAACAGTTAGGTTTTGGGCTAAGGTTCAGTTTAGTTTTGGGCCTTAGGTGAGGGATGCCCTGGTAAACGTCAGGTTAGGCTAAGGTTCATTTTTTGTTGGCCTTAGGGTGAGGTATGCCCTGGGAACAGTCAGGTTAGGGCTAAGGGGTCAATTAGTTTTGGGCCCTTTAAATGAGTATGCCCCCGTAACAGTCAGTTTTAAGGCTAAGTGTCGTTTAGTTGGGCCCTTTGGGTAAGGTATGCCCCCGGAACAGTTAGGTTTTGGCTAAGGTGTCAGTTTAGTTGGCCCTTAGGGGGGGTTCCCTGGTAAAAGTTAGGTTTAGGGGTAAGGTTCAGTTTAAGTTGGCCTTTGGTGGGTATGCCCTGGGAACAGTAAAGGGTTTTTGGCTAAGGTGTCTTTTTTTTTTGGCCTTAGGGAGGTATTCCCTGGAACAGTTAGGTTTAGGGCTAAGGTGTCAGTTTAGTTGGCCTTAGGGTGAGGTATGCCCTGGTAACAGTCAGGTTTAGGGCTAAGGTGTCAGTTTAGTTGGCCTTAGGGTGAGGTTTGCACTGGTAACAGTCAGGTTTAGGGCTAAGGTGTCAGTTTAGTTGGCCTTAGGGTGAGGTATGCCCTGGTAACAGTCAGGTTTAGGGCTAGGGTGTCAGTTTAGTTGGCCTTAGGGTGAGGTTTGCTCTGGTAACAGTTAAGTTTAGGGCTAAGGTGTCAGTTTAGTGGCCCTTAGGGTGAGGTATGCCCTGGTAACAGTTAGGTTTACGGCTAAGGTGTCAGTTTAGTTGCCCTTAGGGTGAGGTATGCCCTGGTAACAGTTAAGTTTAGGGCTAAGGTGTCAGTTTAGTGGCCCTTAGGGTGAGGTATGCCCTGGTAACAGTCAGGTTTAGGGCTAAGGTGTCAGTTTAGTTGGCCTT